ATTAATTACAGTTAATTAAAATTATTAGTTATAATTAATCTGTGATTAATTATAACTAATTAATTTTAATAAATTATAATTAATTAAATTAATTAATAATAATTAATCATATTATAAATAATTAAAATTAATTCTAATTAAAATTAATTATAATTAATTAAATTAATTATAATAATTTAAATAGAATTAAATATAATTAATTATAATAATTATAATTAATTTAAAAATAATAAATTTAATTAATTGTAATTAATTAATATAATTATAAAATAAACCCCCCTCCCTTCTTCCTCTCGGGTTCGGCTAGGACAGGCTGAAGAAGCACGCGAAGGGTAGAAAATTACCTATACAGCAAGCGGGCTCCCGTCGATAGCTCCGATCAAACAGGAAGGGAAGGGCGTCGGAGGAGCAAAGTCGAATTGCCACGAAGGAGCCGAAGGAGTGACGAGATAGGGAGAAAGTTATCTCACAGCCAGCGAATTCCCGCTCTGGCTTCCGATCAAATGCGGTAACTTCCGATCCTTCAGGAAGTGTCGTCGAAGGAGCGAAGTCGGACAACGAAGAGGGAGAAAGTTACGATCACAGCCGGCGAGTCTTCCGCTCTTGGTTTCGAACAAAATGTCGTAGCTTCCGATCCTGCAGAGAGAAGAGGAAGGGAGAGAGCGAGAAAGAGTCGAACGAGGCCGAAGGCCTTGTTTTCTTTTTCTATTTAACGACGCCAATGGGTCGTGTATACGTCGTGGGTGAAATGGCTGTCGCGGGATATTCGCGATTTGGGCGGCGACGACGTGCGGAATTCGGCGCTCGAACGTGGCCGGACAGGTATAAGATTATTTTAATTTTTTTTTTTTTGGATGCAGCAGGTCAACACCCAATCTGTGTTTAAGTAAGCAAGAAGTAGGAAATCCTTCTTTTGAATTGGGAGGCCGAAGGAAGAAGGCCCTTTTATGATGCTTAGTAAGCCTTTGGATGGTTTAAAATAGCAGTTCATAGGTTAATGCATGTGTTGACAAAGTTAGCTGACCACAAATAAGATGTCAAGACAAAGTGAGATATTGGAGGGAGCCCATGAAATGACGATACAAGGTGAAATTGAGAAAATCATTATTGGAATCAAAGCCAGGTAATGGGATTAAGAGTAGGCGCGCAATTATCCATTCCAATTTTAAGGAGCAATTTATAGGCATACTTTTCTTGGCTAAGAAAGAAACCTTGGGGTGTGGGAGTTAACTGATTACCGAGAAACAAGAAAATTAGGCCAAGTTGCTTCATATGCAATGTTACATGAAGTCAGTAGACAAACATGATTGACGTGTTTGAAGTCTCAAAAACCAGGGGCTTGATGCATCTATATTATTTCTTGAAGCTTACCATGAAGAATA